TTTTGAGTGGCTTTAGCCATTAAATAACAATAATAAACAAAATATCTTAGAAGAAAATTTTGTAAAGGAATAGTTATTCTATAGAGAAGTTTGGGGATTGGTTTGTACTGCAACAAAGCAAGTATCTTTTACATCAAGACCAGAAATTTGTTCAGATGATCAAAGCCTATCTGGATAATGTGCATGAAAAAGAGTTAGTTCGAAATCAACAAACAAATGATTCAGAAACTAGTGATTTAGAAGACGGTGATTCAGAAGATGGTGATTCAAAGGAGGATGATGATTTTGATAAAGAGAATACATCTTTAACCATTATGCTTAAGAATTTATATATAGCTGCAACTAAAAGCAGACCAAAATCATCTAACTACAAAAATGATAAAAAAGACAAACGATCAGTAAACAATGATAGGAAAAAAAAATATGGTCCCAATTAATGCAGCTACTGCAAGATGACAGGTCACAATATTGCAACATATTTTAAAAAGGCCAATGATCAGCAATAGTACATACATTGTTCTTGAAGGAAATTTATTATAGTTCATTATAGTTAAAGTTAGCTAACATAGTTCTTTTTAGTTGGTAAGAGTAGAGTAGAGGTAAAATTGCTTTTTGTTTCAATGATTTTCTTGTATATTCTTCATATGTCTATTTCTAATTTGTTAGCTATACTATATATTTGTATAGCAATAGCTTAAGCAGATATATAGCGAATTGTTAATTGTCTTATAATGTATAATGTACAACTAGCCCTTTATAAGTAGCATTTTTCTATACGCTATTTATCTAACATAATATATATGTTATAGTTCAAATTGGTTTTTGGGTCAAGTTAAACTTGTTCTAGGTCAAATTGATCTCTAGCAAAATTTTAGGGTTAGGGTGGGCCAGAATTATGTTGATGCTAGCTAGGTTTTTTAGTTGATCAATTTGACTCAGAACAAGTTTAACTTGATCTAAAAACAAATTTGACCTGTAACATATATAGGGACACCCACAGCAAAAGCAGTGAATAGAAATATATATTATATAGATGCCTGATATATAGATACAGTATAATATAATTAATATTGTAAATCATTACATTTAGTTATATGACTAGAGGTGCATTACATTGTATCTGCAATAAATTATAAACCCTATAATATAAAATTTGTTTTATAATTTTATTAATTTAGTTTGTAAATTGTGTAAAATATTTTAAAAAATATATAGTTTACTAAATTAATATGAATAAATTTAACATAAATAAAAGGTTTAACAGTATTGCAACTAAAATAGATAGTTTGCAAATCTATTTTAATCTATAATTAATTTATACTACTTATTGCTAATTAAATATTCTAATTAAATATAAAATAAAAACTTTATACTTTTTTAATAAAATAAAACTAAACATATTAAAAATTAAAATAATAATCTATAGTATAAATACAAAATTTAGAATTTGTTAATACAGATATTATAGCTCTACTTCAGATAACCCTATAAAAAGATTATATAATATATATATATATTATACTGTATTTATATTTAATAGACAAAATAGCATTTTTTTTTAACTATCTAAATCAAATATTATATAAATATATATATTATACAATCTTTTTATATATAGAAAAAGTTAATTACAAGAATATAGATCATTATATTATAAAAATCAATTAAGAAAGTAGATTATTATATTATTAAGTTATTATAAAAACTAAAATTTATATATAAACACACTATAGTTCTGTATAATATCAACATATTCAATATTAAATTTTTGTTTAAATACTTTCTAATATGTTGGTATATATATTTTTTATATAATAAGTATTCTCTATTTTAATATTTTATAATAAAAATCATATTAAAATCTAAATAATAACTCTTTCTGCTAATCCTTTGAATACAAATTTATCATAAACAAAATATTAACAAAAAACATATTTTGCTAAAAAAACACAATTTGCAGTACTAAATAAAAAAAAAGAGTATACAAAATAATATTTAGTTTTTTAGAAAACAAAGATAAAAAAATTAAAGCCAAAGACAAAAAAGAAAAAAAATAGCAAGAACTGATAAATTTCATCTTTGCAAGCAATTCTTGAAAAATTGCACTTGATCTTATACTGTATATCTGTTGTTGTTATATAAAATAAAATATATATTTAGAGTAAACAAAACAATCTAATTATGAATTATATAACAAATATAAACAAAGAAACAGCATATAAAAAATTAAGAAAACAAAACAAAACTGCAGAGATAGTAGATGAACTGATAAAAAATTTTTAGAAGAACTAGAATTATATAAAGACTAGATAGTCAATCTTAGAAAAAAAAGAAGAGTAGCAAGCACTTCAAAAAAGAAATATAGAGAAAAGTTTAATTCAACAACTTAAACAAGAAAATTTATCTTTTTTAATACAATACAATA